AACAAAATCTTGACAACCGTCACTGGCCAATCCCTGTTTGATTAAAAACAACTTGAATCCAAACAGACCATCCTTACTGGTGGGACAAGCAGTTTGAATCCAATGTTCATTCATTATCTTGTAATCCTATTACAAGATACACCAGAAATATTTTCAGTGGTATCAGAAATGGTTGGAATTGGCACATGTGTAAAAGCCAGAAAGCAAAAAGATGTGAAAATGACCCATTTCTATCACAGAAGCCAAGAACTACAGAAGCAAGGGGCAAGCAGAAAGATGTGCCCACTGAGGAGAAGGTGGGCAGCTGGGCCTGCAAGGTGCTTGGGGAGAACAGGTGTTTAAATGTTGATCAAAAAAAAAAAAAACGAAAAAAATTCCAGCCAGGATCCCTACATCACTGCTTCTCAGCAAGGATGGTCAGAGGGCATTCATGCGAATGTTTGGTTCTTGCTTTAGTCAAGAAAAGCAACTGCTCGCTGTGGGGGTTCAGGAGGGAGCCTGCTTGTGCTGCAAATAGAGAAATTCCAGAGATGTAGAATTTCTGGTCTGTGGGTATGAAAAGAGTCTGTTTCTCAACTCACACATCTTGAAACAACTCAGTGAACGGAAGCACCAGCGTCCCAAGAACAGACATCCCAATTCATCTGAAAGGGGTCAAGAAGAGGCTTGACCCACTGAAACCAAAGCTCTTCTGCAACAGCTGGTGTCATCTTTTATGAAACACATTCTGAAGTTAAGCCAATATCTCACCTTATTTTTAAAAAAAAAGTATTTCTGATCAAACTTCTTCATTTAAAGAAAGAGTCTGAAACAAAATGTTGAAGTTGACTCCAGATTTGGGGAGGGAGAGGGCTTCATCCCATGAAAACCTGGGATGGACTTTCAGCAGTAATATCCAAACAGAAAAGTTGGCATTTCAAGTTCTTATGGATATAATTTTCCCATTCGATTGAAATTTCAGGGAGTTGGGGACAATAAAAAAAGATTATTTACTTGTTATGACAACAGAGAAAGTTGCAGATTCAATACTGCTCATGCTCCCAGATGCCTCCAGTTAGCTGCCATATGCAAACCACCCTGTGCTGGCATCACATCCAAATTGCATGAAAAAGCCAAGTTAAAATATGGCCAAATACATGAATTTACTTTAGGAGGACATACCAACACCCATTTACAAAATTAACAAAATCCATCATTGCCAAGGGCTCCCACACACAGCTTCCCAAAGAGGAGAGTTCTCATTTCCACACCCAGAGAATTTAAAACTCAAGAAATGCCTTTGTTATTGAAAAGAAACTTTAAATTTCTGACTCAGGTCATTTCCAAATACCCAGATATATCACTCAGACTTCTGGTTACAAAAGAGATTTTTTTTTTCAGAGCCCTTCAAAGGGCACAAAGCCCAGGAGAAAAACCTTCTCAGACAGACAGATGTACTTGCTCATAGACTTGGACACAGGAACCCCATGTAAAAAGCTTCAGGAGATTAATAACGTGGGTGGAAAATTAAGGCACCTCATAAAAGGTTTGAAGTAACAAGGGAACAGATCACATCAACTTGGAAAGGTTAAAGAAAGCAATTTATAGACACTAATTAGGGCCTCTTTTAAAAGTGCCTTTGGAAACGACAGGGTTGAGTTTATTCCAGAAAGGTGCAAAGGGAGCACAGTCGGAACTCCCTGCGGATGCTCCTCAAAGGGTGGGTGAAGCATGCTCAGCACTGCCTCACATGTACAGGGTATTTAAGGGTCAGCATGAAGGGAAACATGGGGGAGGTGTTTATGTGAATAAGCTGGTTCCTCCCCAGGGAAATCCCCCCACGCTGGCACAGGACCCAGCGAGCCCCAAGCTTGCGCCCGCTGCTCTGCCAATGGGAACTTTTTTGCTGGATGCCAAGTCCAAGGTCATCAAACCTGAGTTTTCCTTCACTTTCTGGCTCACCAGCCCTAAAGGCCTGCATGGTTAAACTCCTGCAGAAGCGTTGTTTTATGCAACACTCTGGCTCTGGTAAACTTTCGCTTGCAGGATGAAGTGCCAGGAGGTGGGAGCTGAAGGACTCTGCAGCGATGCTTCCCAGAGCCATGGCCGGGGGGCAGCAGGTGCCTGTGGGAGGCAGCTCTCATCCAAGAGCAGGAGAAACCAGGGTACCTCCAGCACTGCTGGAAGGTGACTTGGTCCTTGGGGGTCTTTATTTCTCCACTGGCTCACTGAAGGGAACACAGCTCACCACCCAGCTAATGCCAACACCTCCAGCTTCTGTCAGTCAAGTGGAAGCTCCCCCTGCAAACAGCCCAGGTGTGAGAAGGGACCTCCAGACAGCAAATGCCACATGTCTGTACAAGCAGCCACTTTACCCACCTTTGGGATCTGTTTTTCCAATTTACAGAACACCAGCTCCTCTCCCCAGTCTCTGGGGCTGCTTTTAGAGGAGCTCAGTGATGTAGAAAGACCTGGACACGACAGCCCTGCAGCAGCCAGGGCTGTTTTCAGGGATGAGGTGCTGCCCTGGGAATGGCAGGACCAGCCTCCTCCCCACAATTTCAGATCACGATCTTGCAGGACAGCCTCGAAGGGCTACCTACAGCCTTCAGCAACTTCTTGTCTTTCTTCTCACAGTTCCTTTGCAATCAGTACAGTAGCTCATAAAGCACTGCTTTATTGCATTATAAAGCAACTCCTTCACAGCCATTGGAACAGCCCAGAGGCTGCATCGAGCACTGTGCTCCCTGTAAGCTCTGTAAGGCTGAGTGTTCTCCCCTTTGTCCCATCCTCCTGCAACCAGCTCAGATTGAGCTCAGAGCTGGGTGAGGACTTGAACATATTTCCACTTTAAAAGGTTATGGTGTGTGATGCCTCTCCCCCCAGCATTCCCATGGGGGAGACCAGAGCAGGTCCAGTCTGGCAACTGGGAGCGCTCTGCTCTCACCTTGGAGTTCTCCCATGAACTGCCTGTAGCTATTTCAGTTTTCCACACTGAAGGTCCAGGGCAGCACTCTGCAGCCCAGGGGAACTGCTGCCCTCCATCTGGGGTCAGTGCTCAACACCTCCTTCTCCCCAGTGCCACTGTCCGCTCACGTCTGCCACCAGCACGTTTGCAGCGTGCTCCCTACCCCGGTTCTGCCCACAGAGATCCAAAGGAGATTTTAATAGCAACTTGTTTGTAAAATCTGGGATGTTTTGACAGATCTGTTGCAGAAGATGTGAGGAACAAGCTGACAGAAGCCATCACCCCTCCGTAGCTCCTGCCCACGCTGATGCTCCCCAGGAGCCCCTGACTTCTGTCCTGCTTCACCACCATGCTGAGATCATAGAACCATGGAATCATTTAGGTTGGAAAAGCCCTCTAGGATCAGAGTCCAACCATCCTCCAGCACTGCCAAGTCTACCACTTAATCGAGAGCCAAACCTACAGATCTTTTAAATCCCTCCAGGGATGGTGACTCCACCACTGCCCTGGGCAGCCTATTCCAATGCTTAACAACCCTTTTGGGGAAGAAATTTTTCTCAGTATCCAAACTAAACATCCTCTGGAGCAGCTTGAGACCATTTCCTCTTGCCCTATCACTTGTTACCTGGGAGATACAGTGATTCTGCAACATGCCTGGTCACCTGTGGCTGAACCTGCATTTCTTACGTGCTAAAGAAGTCCTCTTCTCTAAGCCTGTCACATCTCCAGAGTCAGAGAGGTCACTGGATGAGTGGGAAGCCAGAGTGGCTGAGCCCAGTGGTTGTGCCATCAATGGCAGAAGGAAACAGGGATAAGGGAAGGTGCTGCAGATCCATGTGGGCACACAGGAGCTCTTTCAATTACATCTGGGCAAGAGGCAGGCAAAGAACAGTGAAATCAGCACGTTCAGCTCCTCAGGGACACAGGACTGCTCCCTGAAGAGAAAGGCAGAGGTTTGCACCCAATGACTCCATCCTAGAGGGCTCAACCCACCACCTCCATCAGGAGGAGATCACATCACAGCTCCAAGACATCTTTGGGACAAAGAGCCAACTCACTACCCAACTCCATTTTCTTTTCCCTGATTTCATCGCACAGCACCTACTACCATCCCGTCTCCCACTTCAGGAGTGAGAATGATAAAAAATAAACACAAAGGCATGGAAAAGCCACAAAGAACAGAAGTGGCACACCTGCCCAGAGGCAGCTCGGAGGTGACACGTGCCAGCTGCACTCCCAGCTCCAACCTTCTTCACATTGACTTCTCAACTTCTTAATCATTTATATTTCATCTCCCCCTTGACTTCCCACGTGGAAACAAAAGATGATTCATATATCAAAGTAATCACCTGGGATCTCCAAAAGCCCACGCGTAAAAAAGTACTCTCTGGCTCCCCGGAGCTCACAAGTTTTTCCCCATGCTGTGTTGAGGCAAATGGTTATTGACTTTTAGACATATTTTTTCCTCCTCCCTTCAGATTTTGTAGCAAAAGCAAGGCACTTTGATCCACTTTGAAATGGTGTAATTAAACCAATTTCTGAACAATATGCAGTTCTGTTCTATAGGAAGCACTAAGCAAAGCCATGCTTTACAGTATTTTGGGAAAAAATTCATACATCCATGTAGCTCTCAATCCATGCCCTCAAGCAGGGAAGCTGAGGAGATTTACACTGACATGTAAATCCCTGCAACAGACTTCTATAAAACCACTGAGAGGCACACCCACAAGGCAAAGGAGGGTTTCACACCTTCTGTAAGTAGGAAGTATGAAAAGGAAAGAGATGAAAACTGCCTTCCTTTCCCTAAATCTCAGTCATAACTCCTGCCCTATCCTAGCATTTGCGTGCCCACTCATGATGCCCATCGAGGTAACGCTGGTGTGTCACACAGTGCTTTGAGGACCCCACAGCTGTATCAGAGATGGCAACGCCTTAGAGACCACACCATGTCAAGGGCAGTCCAGGGCATGGATGACAGCACAGATGCCTCTGCACACCACAGAGGGCCTCACACAGAGCCAGACAAAGAAACTGCCAGATACAAGTGCCGTACCTTCCTCAACGTCGTTCCTCAGAGAGGCCTCCAGCAGAGAAACGCTGGCTTCAAAAGACACTTTCTTTCGGTTCACAGCATTTCTCTTCTTTTCGTGCTTCCTCTTCTTGTGCTGCATTTCCTTCTCATACTGTGCCCACTTCTTCAGCTGCTGAGCCCTCCGCTTCTGGGCTGCCCGCAGCCTCTCCAGCGTAGGCACCTTGTCCAGCAGCTGCAGCTCAGTCAGGAGGTCCACATGGGCATCCATTGCTTCTGCAGAGAGAGGGATGGGGAAGGATGTCCCAGTGGGAAACAGTGTCCCACCACAGGTCCTCTGGATCACAGCCACCTGCTGCTATACCAGCATCTTGAGGCCGAGCTGGGGAGGGCCCATTGCAGTGTCCAATGAGAATGTGGTGGAAACCTGCAATGAGGAGGAAAAAATGAGGGATCAAGTCTCCTCATTCCATGCAGGCAAGCAGCTAACATCAGACTGTTGGAAAACACAACAGGCAACACCTTCCACCCCAAAAAAGGCAGCTCAGTTAATTGTGCTTTAATTGCTTAGTTGTTCTCACTAACCTTTGTGATTTCCCCCTTTTTAATTCCCCCCTTCCCTCACTCCAAACATCCAAGCAAAACCCTCTTGATAAAGCAGCAGTTCTAGCGTGCATGGTGTTCATGCCTATAGTTCACACCAGCCCTCTCTTACAAGCAGAATAGTCTTAACCAGCAAAGATCTTGCACATGTTTGATATAATTCGTCAGACAACTCAGGAGAAATTTGAGTACCGAGACACACCTCCTTCCCTCCAGCTGATCCCTTCCAGCACAGCCATCACCCCTCATTGCAGGTGTCCCACCGTGCAGCCAGGACTTCTTCATCCATCAGCCCCTTCCCAGCCCAGCCCTAAGGACACAGAGATAGGACATGGCTCCCAGGGAGGTATTGCTAACACTTAAACTGCCTCAGCTCTTAAAAACATGGGGGTTGTGTTCATTTCTCTCTTCCTTTGTGTTTTCTCTTCACCACACGCTAAATCACTCTGGTTTTGCTGTTCAGGTTCCACAAGCACAGAGATAAGAGCAGTTAATTCACAGCTCCAGACTCTTGGTGTGACCATGACACAGACCTCTGAGCAGTGCTACCCACAAAGCCATCACCCAGGGACCCATGGGCAGCTGCCCAGTCACCTGCTGCACAGGAGGAGGAAACACATCCCAGATTTACGGAGTGGTCCAACAGGGAAAGGTGCATTTGAAATAAATCCAACATCACAGGCAAACTGAACGAGTCCTTTCCAACACATCCGTGCAAAGCACAATGGATGCAAGGTGAGCATGCCAAATCCAGGTAAGAAGCAAATAACCACATACAAGAGAGCTCTTGTTGTTCAGCCAGTTTGGAAGGGGAAAAGAAAAAACAAAAAGAAAGTGTTGATGGGAAGGGGAGACTATGGAGAACTTAAGTATTCCCAAGCACCCGAGAAAGCCCCAAGGGGACAGCTGAAGCCATTCCCTGCTCAACTCTCCTGCTGCAAAAGAGGGGAAGCAACATCTCATAAGCAATGGATGCAAAGAATCTATGGGAAAAATAGCAGAAGAGAGGTAGCTAGACCAAGGTGAGAGACATGGTGAGGATACCAGAGCTTACTCCATCCAGCCCAGCCAGGAAAAGCCTCAGCTTATCCCTCTCAGAGGGAGAAGCAGCCCATCGTGGAGGCACTATTGTGAGGGGCTGCAGGGAAGTGTCCAAGCCACACAGCACATCCACCACCTGCCAGTGAGTTTCACCAGGCTGAGACAGCCACGCCAACTAAACACTGCTACAGACCTTCCACAGGGCTTCGACCTTACCTATAAATATCTGGGCAGACTGACAGCGACACAGGCCATTTCCTCCCCCAGATAATTGGTTTGAGAACTGAAAACAAACAAACCCAGCCAGAGCACACAGGCAGGTCCTGGGCAGTTTCTTTATCCAGTAAATGGCCAAGGGCAGCTTCAGCAACACCTGCAAACCTTATTTTGAGGGTTTAAGGATAGACCTGAACAAAAAACCCCTGTTTAATCCCATAAGAACTAGTTCCACAGGGACAAATCCAAATCCTCACGAAGTTTTTTTATGAGATACTACCTAGAAATTCAAACACTTGCCTGAGATGGACAATATCAACTCATTACTTCCGTATGTCTCTGGAAAGCAAGGGAAGGGTGCCACAGCTCCTCCACAGCACGAGAGCCACGCACAGCTCCCCCTCACCCCTGCCCACAGTCCCCATGAGCCGAGACTCACCAGGGTCCCCCGAAACCCTAAAGAAAATGCATAAATGAACATTACAAAAAGCTTTTATTTTAGGGCAGTCACATTTCCCAAGCACAGGCACTTTGTTGGAACGCTTTTCAGCACCTCTGGTGAACTCGGCTCCTGCCCCTCGAAGGCATTCCAGGGGAGGTATCTTTCTTGGCGATCTCCACTGCAGTAACACAGGCTGCAGATCTGAAGCCCCGTTTACAATACCTCGAAGGAGGGGAGATAAGGGCAGGAAATGCCTCTCGAAATACCGAGGCACTCCCACCCCGCTCCTTTTCCAAGCCACTTCTGTCATTGTTTGCTAAAAGATGAACAAATATTTTCCAAAACACACCTGGAGTAGAAACAATTCTGCAGGATTATTAAAGTAAAGAAACCTTATTTCAGCATTTCCCAAAATAAGCTGGAAGCTTTCTTGGTGGTTTTAGGAGTGCATCTGGGAAACAGCAACAGGACATGGATTTACAAGGAGAGGACATGTGTGGCTCTGTTCACCCATGTTTCAGATTTCCTGCACACACCTCATCCTCCAGCAGCACCTCTGCTCCCACAACAGAAAAGAAGGGAGATTCAAGTGGTCTGCAAAGGGGAGAGAAATGCAGATGGGAATTCCACGAATATGGAGATATCTCTGGAAGTACCAAACACCAGCATCTCCTCTATCCAACCAGCAAATGAACCTCTAAAGAAGCAGAAAGGTCACTGAGAGCTCTTCCTGAAGGAAACACAGCTCAACTTCTCCTAGACTTAGGTACAATTCCCTACAACCCTCCACGGACCCCAGAGCTTCAGAAAGACTTTGGCTCCATCACTCTGGCTGCCTGTTTTCCAGTGACCTGGTTTCTCCCCTGTACCATAAAACTGGCACATTGACTTCTTGCACAAACCAGTCAGGCCAACTATAGCACGAGTTCAGTCCCCAGCAACTGTTCACCTGCAAAGCGACACAGAAGTGGCTGTGTGGGTGTCCATGGTTTGCAAGGCATCTCACTTTGGTTTCTGTTTTATTTAAAGAAGAAGAGGAGGGAAAAAGAAAGTGCCATTCTTTGTGTTTGATCGAGCTGAGTTTCCATGAGCTCAGCAGATCTGCCTGCCACCACACAGAGCACATCCTCCCAGGCACACACGGCCCCTAGCCCCGCAGGGACAACAGGGGCTATTTCAGGGGCCAAAAGGAAGGCAAGGTGCTCATGCCATCCCCTTCCTTCGGGTGCTGCAGCAGGGAAAACTGTGTCAAAGATTGGTCCCTGTGAAGGACTTGCACGTGTTGAACACCACTGTGGGATTTCTTGTCAATTTGCATTTCCTGTACCTTTTGTTTCACCTTCGGACAAGACTCACCTCACTAAGCCCAAAAGGACTTTCCAGGCACTGGTTATTCACTGGCAATACAAGACCAGACCGTGATTCCAGGAAGTGAGAGTCTCCTGAGTGAGTGATTGCACCCTGTGCCACCAACCCTGCCCGGAGGCATCCCCGATGCACACACTCCTTGCTCTTTCCCATTTCACGTTTAGAGGTTGGCACTTGCATCCTGCAAAGGAGAAAACTGAGGGTACTTATCTTCCTGCTCCAGCACACATTCAGAACTGTTCCCTTGACCTTCCTACAAAGCATCTGAGTTGCAGACACTTTGACATAACATTGCTGAGGTTGGGGCTGGATTTATTAAAGCAGCCACGCTGCTGAGGGAGGCTGGAGAACCTCCTCCTCTCCCCACCAGATGGTGAAGCTGGAGCTGAGACCTGCAAATTCTCCACCATATCTCCCCAAGGCACTAGTCAAAGCACAGTATGACACTGACACAGAACACAAACACTTACAAGAGTCCTTCACTTAAGTATCATCAACTGATTTCAGTTTTATTCCACTTAAAAAGAACCAAACACAAACCATGGAAGAGCAACCCTTGAATGGGACACCTTGAAACAAAACAGTGCAGCAACTAGAGAATTCTTTAAGCTATGTATCTTTCAAGCAAAGGGAAAATTCAAGACCCTGGTATGTGAGGAACAGCTTCTGAAGTCAAGGAGACCATTCCCATTCACTGGATTGCTTGTGGAGAGGCACCTGCAGGTTGGGCCCGACTAGGTGAGGTGTCTGCAGCATAAAGCCAAGTCAGTGGCATGAAGAGTGTCAGAAATAGCCCTCTCCTCCCCACATCAAGCTAATCTCTCTGCTGGAATTGGAAATCCAGCACGAAAGCCTATAGCAGGGATCTGAGTGCATAAGCAGTTGGCAGAGGAGGTGGCTGCCTGATTTATTTATGTCACTAAGAGTCAACTGCACCATGGCAAAGTGAAGACTTGCCAAATTCACTCCTTCTGCTTCTTGTAAGGGCCAAGGCCAATCTGTGTGTTCCTGCCCCACAAAATGCAAAATGACCACCCTGTTGCAGCCCTTCTGCTGAACCCATCCTCCAGCAGCGGGCACCAATGAGGAATCCACAGGCTTCTCCTTCAGGACTGTCCCTGTCGGGTGATACAGAGGCTGAAGATGCATGTTCTGCGTTGCTGTTTCTGCTGTTGGCCAGGACCTCCCCAAAGACTGGAGGAAGCAGCAGAGCAGCCCTTCATCACTTGCTTGAGGGGAAGAGCTCACTGGAGCCCAACAGCTGTAAAACACCATCCAGAGACAGCTAGAAAGCCACAGAGAAGGAGGTGACAGCCCAAGGGACCGGCAGGAGCAGTAGGGAAAGGCAGGCACAGGAGTTCAACTATCCCCAAGGAAGGAAAAGGCAGGGGACACAAAGGGCTGCCCAAAGCCTGGATGTGCCATGGGGGTGACCACACACAGAGCTGAGGTCCATTCCCTCTTCCACACAGCCCAGACCAGGGTGAGAAGGGCAGCAGCATCCCCCTCCTACCCTCCCCAGAGGAACGTGCTCCAAGTCATTTCCTAAACCGTGTCCCTGTGGAGCACATAACCACGCCGGCTCTGCCAAGGCACTCCCCATCCCACCACTGACACATGAGCTGCTCTGATCTGCAGCACCTTCGGGAACATGGGAAACAAACCCTGCTCCTGACTGCCGATGGGAACAGGGAGTCCTGTGCTGGATCAGGAGCTCTAAGGGCTTGTAGGGTTGGGTTTTAATTAGTATGTGGTGC